GCACCTCTCCAAAATTGTACAATTGCCTATGATTGGTCAAATCTACATCTGCTCTACACTATGCATATTTCCTGTTTGGCACCTCACCGGCTTGTTTGTATGACTGCCATTAAGGAAACCGACTCATGAAGTTGGACCAGCTAGAAGATTGAGGTGCGCGAGAACGCTGGGACCCTTTTTCCAACTGGATAGTGGGGTGTAAATAATAATGGTTTTGTATCGATGCATCGATCCAACAGCCGACGATCCGATGCATCGATACGTCCGCAAGAGAATCGATTCATGTTTTTTTTTTTTCCTCCGGTCTATTTTTATCCATTTGCTCCTGGGCGTAATTCTCCCTCCCTTGCTGCGGTGGCGCCAAACCTATTTGGCCCTCCAACCTCGCTTCCTGGTTATACTCTTACAGCAGTGTGTTGCAGTGAGCTTGATGCAGACGTTTTTAAATTATGCTCAGTATTGAAGCGTGGTCTGAGCTACACGCTGTGGGTCTAGATACGTCCGAGGCGGCGAGGAAGTGGGGGCGAGTTTAGTCCGACGACGGAGGGACTTGAGGGCCAAAAAGAGCGGAGATCCAGGTGGAAAAAGGGTCCCAGCGTTCTCGCGCACCTCGATCTTCTAGCAGGTCAAACTTCACAAGTTGTTTTCCGTAATTTGGGTCATAAAAACAAAACAAGCCGGCCTCCTGTCTGCGGTCAGCTACAATTTGGGAGAGGAGCAGCGGAGCGTCTGTGGAGGGGGCGGGACGTCTGGAGCCGAGGTATTGCATTGCACTCATTGCACTGATTTTGTGCAGTATTTTTTGATGCAAAGCCTTTCAGAATTTATAACGCAGAGGTATTATTATTTTTCAGTAAATGAGGTTTTAATAGGAATAGATGGAGTGCAACTTTTCTACTTCTGTTATTTGCTGTTGTTTCTCAAAAAAAAAAAAAACGTTATTGCAGCTTTCATTGATTTATTTCAAATTTGAAACATTGTCTAGCCTGTAAGGTGTAAAAAAAATGGTATCATGGTGTATTCCTGAGTATCCAAAATAATTGAATCTCTGGGTCAGGAAATCGATACTGAAGCAAATCGCCATGATGTGATGTGTTGACGCACAAACTTGCCCCCACTTCCTCACCGCCTCAACCGTATCTAGACCCACAGCTAGTTCCTGATTGGTCCTCTTGCGTTGTGGCGTGGAATACCATGGCGCAGACCACTCTTCAACATTGGGCATAAATCAAAGTATCTGCGACAAGCTCACTGCGACACACTGCTGCGGGACGATAACCAGCCCTATAGTTTGACCACTTATTTAGCCAGACTGTTTGATGTCTCTACCTCACAGCCGTCGTGCTTAGAGAAATGTAAACTAGATTAAGATTCAAGATACGTACTTCATACAAAATGGAGCAAAAAACGGTCATTAAGAAATAATACTTTGTCATTAATCAACATTTCATTATATTGTAATTGTCATTATTTATAGTTGATGTTAATTTTATTTACTACCTTTTAATACCTTGTAAATCCCACAGACACTGTGTGAGGGTTAGAGGGACTGATCGTGACTGAACTCTACAGGCTGGACAGGAGAAGATGTCTGCAAATGAAAACTATTTCAGACAGAAGCCACTTCAAACGAGGCCAAACAAACACTTTTCATCAGTAGATCTCTCTAATCTCGCCCGCTGGTGTCTGTGCAGGTGGAAAAAACTGTTTCTAACACCAGACACACCAGAGGAAAATAGGAATTGAAACCGTCGTATAAACATTTCTTGACTAATGCTTTTTTTTTTCGTGCCTGCATCAAACAGCAGTCTGACTAATCCTATGTATTGTTTTTGATGGATGTTCATGCCGCTGTGCGCAGAGTGCGAGGAACTCTGCAGGCAAACCTACGTCCTCAGCATTCTCCACAGACACGCGGTAAACCCACACAAAACATCAACCGTATCTGTGACGGATGGTGCTCTGTGTGGGAAATTACAAGCAATTTTCCATCATTTAGTATCAGGTTTCTATTGAGACAAAACAAGGATGACTTTTGGCAGGAGTTCTGCAGTATTTCACGTTTACTGATTCGGTCAAAGCAGATGATCTTTGTTGATTTTTGCACATGAAACTTAAATGTTTTCAGCAGGAAAACAATTGGTAAGTGTTTTTTCTAATGGCGTGTACATTGCCTTTGTGAGTTTATGTCTTTGTTATGGCAGACATGGGTTTCAGTTCTAATTGTGTTGGGAAGTGTTGGCATAAAAACTTTGCAAAGTTTGTGTGTTATAATGACTTGCTGTGAGGATCTGTGCACGAGGGAGCGACCGAAGGGATTCCTATGACAAAGCTTTATATAACATAAATTTATGAGTAAATAAGAGACCTGTGATTTTCTTTTACTATGACACCTTTATGGACTGTTTTCTTGAAATTATGCATAAAAATAGTTGCTTATGATTATAAGTTATAGAGTAAAGCCTGGTTGAATATTATGGCCCCAATAGAAGGTCCTGGCAGTTTTTTTTAGCCTTTCAAAGTTATCTAGAGGCAGATATAATCAAATAATACCTTTAGAGCTATATAGTATTAATTTATTACAGTAGCGTCCATTAAAAATGGCTCTTCAAACGCCAGCTGAATGGCAACCCATTTCTCTCCAACTCCCAGCGAAATCCCCTCCATCTTCCAGCCACTGGAGTGACGTCCTCTTGCATATTATTTTATTCTAACTCCACCCTTTCACTGAATTACAGGGTCTGACCAGGAGATGGCGCTTCTCTTTCGATCTTAATGTCCACAAATCATGACAGAAAGAGTATTTTAGTACAAAGATGGATGTTTAAAAAATGTATTTTAGGGGAACACAAGGACCAGTTAAGGGCCCATTTGAAGGGCTACTGTCATGGGAAAAAAGTATTTAACTATTCACTCTAGTTAAATAAACGGAGATCGATGGATTTCACTCAGTCGGCATTTTATATTCATATCTTTGCAAAGAGAGAACAGTTCATCATACAGTCCTTATGGTAGGGGTTTGCATTGGCACTGCCCTCACGATTCGATTCGATTACGATTCACCAGAGAACGATTCGATTCAATTCGATTCTACGATGCATTGCGATGCATCAAAATCCCATTGACTTCGTAAAATCCGAAATGTGCCCAGATATCCGCTTTCCAAGCTTTTGGTGCGTTTTTAATTAGGCCTAGCCGTCTATCGCGGTCATCTCCCTCCGCCTCAGCCATCTTGATTGTTGTTGGTATGCCCCCGGAAGTAATTGAAACTTCACAACTTGTCCATTTGAGTCCAGAAAATAAACGGTGACATAATCGATTATGGCACGTTGCCGCATCGATGCTGAATCGTGCATGCCCCGCATTGCAATGCATCGCTGAATCGATTATTGTTGACACCCCTACCTTATGGCACAGCATTATGCCCTGTTCTGATCTGGACAGTGTTCGTTCCTCCTTACTTACAACAATGGAAAGTAGTCAGAGTCAAAACAAATTACAGACACTTTGGTTAAACAGTAAAATGTTATAAATAAACCTTGACAAAGAATCTGATTTGTTAAGGGAAGAAGGTATGTCTGGTCTACAAACATCATCCTGCAGAGAATTGTGTGGCCTTGAGAGAGAAACAGACTGAGTGAAAACTTTTATAGTAAGTAAATAGGATAAATTAATATATAATAGAAGACAAATAAAAATTTTCCGACAACACTACTTTGGTAGCCTCATGAGACCATCCTGATCTCGCGAGCTTTCAAGGTTTCACTTGCAGATCAGTCTGGAGACTCTCCGTTAAAGAAAATTTGGAGCCGTTCACCAAACGAACGTCCAATCAGCGTTGGCTTTGAGGCGGGTTGAGGTGTGACGCAACGAGAAGCGCGACAGTTCAGTCTAAAGAACATGGCGGCTTCAGCCGATGAAACTAGCGTTAGCGTGGCTATGGAGCAAGTTTTATCGGAATTACAGAGTATTCCTTCACTGAAAGAAGAGCAAAACACTGCTCTGGAGGCTTTTCTCAGAGGAAAAGATGTTTTTGCTCTTCTCCCGACTGGTTTCGGCAAGAGTTTGATCTATCAATTGGCTCCTCTTCGTCGTCGCTCTGTTAGTACGTCATATGCTTCGTTGATCTGATTGGTTTATTTGGCCCGTCTATCACCAACATAGGCCAATCAGCTAACCAGTATTTTCGCCCCTTCCCAAAATTACTTCAACGGAAGGTTTCCAGATGGATATGCGGAGCAAATCCCTTACTACTTTGTTGCTTAACAAATAAAATAGGATTGAATTGGATACTCAGAGGTGCATGACTAAAACAAACAAAAAAAACTCTGTGCATGATTCAGATTAAGCTGGTGAAGATTCTCAGTCATCCAGGTCGTAGTCATTCCAAAAAAGTAAAACATTTTTTTCCAAGTCTGAAGACGTTTCTCTTCCCATCCAGGAAGCTTTTTCAATTCAAAATGTCAGAAATAGCGTTTAGTTCCAGGATGTATACAGTAGTCCAATAAAGCCTGTTTTATGTTTAGAAAACATGCAAATAGAAACGGGCGAACGGGTCCACCCCTTTGGAATGGGGGTCGTTTGGCTTGTTTTAATAACCCCATTAAGTTTAGTGCCCCATATCTGTCTATGTCTCTGAAATGGGAGTTGTAAGAGGGAATTGTTGGCCTGGCTGAATAGGCGAGGTCTGTAGAATAAAGAATACTGTAGTATTGAAACATATATGATTATATAATTATTGTATAGGTCATTTAAAATAAAATATGTTCACCATGACCACTCACACTGAACCTGAAGTGCTTGATTTATGTACCTCATCATTCCTTAAAGTTTCATAATATGTGATCTCCCATATTTTCATACATTTGGACGTTTTTCAGCCTTTTTGGTGTTGAATTTAGGTGTATTTTGTCCAACATTTGTTTTTTTTTGTGCTACAGTTGGGTAAATGCTTTCTGTGCGGTCTCTTCACAAGTAACCCTGTTGTCAGATTTACTCACTTGTGCGACTTCTTGCCCTCCGTTCCTCCAGGGCCTGAACCGCAGTCATGCGCTTGGATGATGAAGGTGTACTCTTTCTGCAGCTCGCAGTCCACCAGGCCGCGGGCCCTCAGTTGACCCTCACCAGACGTTCCGTTCAGCACCACCGCCTCAAACGGAGCCTCCAGTCCGTGGATGTTGAACGCACAGATCTCCCCTAGAGATTAGAAAAAGAGAGAATCAGACAGTAGAATGAGATGAAGAATCTCAGCTCGAGAGGGAACAGAGAAAAAAAGTTTGAAGAAAAAGTACATCCACCTTCTGGCTCAAACCCAACTTTTTAAAGGGCATTGATGATTGGATTAGTGGTGATTCAGACTTATGATGGCCAATTAGTGAGTAACTGTGTATGTTAATGTATTCATTTACCAATAAGTTGCTTTTTAAAGTGAATTACTGATGTAGAAGTTATTCCCAGCATCAAACTATTCTCTATATCTGTTTATCCTTGCTGAGTCACCCAGTGTTGTCATCAGGTAAGAGGGTCATCAGGAGACATCGCTGACGGCGCCGTTTGACCCTTGAACCGGAAGTCATTCTGCCTGCTGCGGCTTTTGAAAACATGGATATTGTCGGCACCCCAAACATGGCTGCCGTTATCCAGGAATATTTTGAATCAGGACATACGTACGAGGTGATACTGGATATGCTCAAGACTAATCACGAAATTTCAGTTAGTTTGCGTACACTGAAGACACACTTAAAAGAAGCTGGACTGTTCAGACGACGCTTTTAGATTTGTAGTTGCAGTTTGCACTTCAGGGCCACCGTAAAAAATGAGAAAAAATGCCTTCAATTAAGTGTATTTACCATTAATTTGAGTAAGTAAATAGGATAATTTGCCAATGGAATTAGTATTTTTAGTCTTAAAATAAGATAATTAGACAATATGCCCTTGAAATAAGAAACTGCAATTGTGTTTTCTTATTTTAAATGTAAATTGTTCCATTGGCAAAGTGTCTCAATACCTCCTCAATTCAAGAAAAAATGCACTTATTGCAAGAAAAAATTACTCATGTAGATTTCAATTTTTGGCTTTTTTGGAACTTGTTCTCAATGCATTCCACTTTGTAATCAATAAAGATTTTAAACTGGAGTGTAAATAACCATAACCTTTTTCTTTTTGCTACAAATGGAGTTGAGTTTTGTTTCATTGGTTTTGTACACACTTTTTCTTTCACAATGTCAACAACTTCCAGTTTGAGCTAAGTGCTTTTATTTTGTTAAGCTTTTGTGTTTCCGGTAGTGGCGGTTAGCATGTTTTCTCATAAGTACGGCATTGGATTAGAAACGGAGCTAGGGTAGCATTGAATATAGTCCTGGCAGCCCCTCCGAAGAGGAAAAAGGTGTGTTATTCATTTGTATAATAGCATTTGCCAGTGGTGATTTTTGCACAAGGTGAATCATTTAAAATGGTTTAATGTGAAATGTGTTTCAGCTCTTACGGTGGTGATATGTGGATTTAAAGACTAAAGTTTATGGAATATGATAGGGATGCACGATATAATCGGCCCCCTATCGGTATCGGCCTTAAAACTGAATATCGGACATCGGCCACGCCACCGATATTTAACCCGATATTTGATCAGCTTCTGAGTTTCTAAAGTCTAAAAAAAAAAATAAAAATACTACTTCTTCTTCTTCCTCAAAAACGTATTTTTTACAGACTTAAAAACTTCTAAAGACGAGGGAAAAAATATTGATAAATTAAAATATCCCAATATCTTCCTATGCTGATATATTGCCATTTAAAAACACCATATCAATCTCTTTCTCTAATGAAATATTGCTATATGTCATCGTTATGCTACGAAATCCCCCGAAAATTCACCAAATGTTGCCATATTTTTATATGTTGATATATTGACGCTGTATCGATCTATTTTACTAACAAAATCTCACAAGAATTTGCAAAATATCACGAGAGTTTGTAACAGAACGATGAAATTTCACCAGATTTTGAAGTAAAATAGATCGATACCGCGTTGTTAAAAATCAATTTGATATCAGCATATGAAAATATATTTGAGTATATTATTTTTCAAAGTGTCAGAAATGGATAATGAAACTGTTATTTTCACAGATTTTTGTCCAGCTTTAACATCGGTATCCATATCGGTTATCGGCTACATGAGTTTTAAAATATCGGCATATCGGATATTGGCCAAAATCCCAATATCGTGCATCCCTAGAATATGACTCTATGACTCTCCTCCTTGATCGGAGGCGGCATGCTACATGGAACATTTCATTTATTAAAATATTCTAATGTATTATTTGGTTCATTATTTCTGAGCTCACCATGTGGTCCGTAAGCTTTAACTCACAATAAACAGAGTGGAAAACTAAAATATATAAAAGCCCAATTTGACTTTAAACAGATATAAAGGACAGAATCCCTTCATATTTTTGAGTTTTTGGTTTGATTTATTAACCTGGATAAATAAAGAAACTGGAGCAGGGGTTAAACTTAATTATGTTTTTCTTTTGTTTGCTGACAGATTTGACATCCCCCAGTTCTTCTGCTCGGCTTTCAGGAAATCACTTAACACGCCGGGCTCCCACTCTGACCTGCGATGGCTAATTGCGCTTGTATCACTTAAACTAACAGCGAGGACTAAATTGGATTCCCAAGAAGCTTTGTGTGTGACTTGCTCCTGGCAAATTCTGATAAGAGCAACTTTATTTCCAAACCTTTCATCCTGTTCCTGTCATAATCCCCGCCACCTACCCAGCCTCCCCTTTATTCTCCCCTGCTGTCAGGACTCGGCCCCCTGAAACCATAATTTGCCTGAGGAAAATCTATAAGCAGGAGGTAGTAAAACTGGAACAGAACTGACGCATCCTACAAACGTCCCTACACATTCTTTCTTAGCTATACGACTTGAACAATGTCGTATCAGAGGCAAATATGCGCTGCTGCTTTAAAAAAAAAAACATGGCTCAGCAGTGTGAGCAGATTCATAAAACAGCAATGAGCAAACAGTGTGTGATGGGGAGTGACAGAAGATGCGGCGGTCTCCCTTTGCTGCTTCTTTTAATAGCTCGCTGCAGCACAAAACAAGCAAACCCCAAATCCATCACCGTTGGAGCGAGAAATAAATCCAATATACCAGCCAGTGCAGAAGCTTCCCATCAGGATGGATACGCTTTGGATATGATGATGGCGCACGCCTACTGCACATGGAGCTCGGTGGCCCCACATGCACCTCCTGATTTAATTATACGTGATGGGGGGGGCGGTGAGGAGCGGGTCAAGGTGACTGCAGGGGGAGGTCCTCCTTTTCTTCTAGACTCAGAGGAAAACTCCAAGAGCTCCAACTACCTGCAGAACTAGCAACATTTTTTATGTCTGTTACTTCATTCCAGTCTATGGAGTGAATTGTGTTCCATTATTGTTGAAAGCAGAGACATTGTTTGTGAATGGGAATCTCAAAATATGCATGATAGAAAATAATATTTCAAAAACTTTTTACATTTTATTTTGACAAACTCTCATATTGAATTTTTTCAAATTTTAAATTCTTTTTCCCATATTTCTTGCTTTTATTGTTACAAATTTCCTTCAGTCAAAAAAAAAATCTATATTTAATTTCTTCAAATTTCATTTTTTTATGTTATTTTTCCAATTGAATTTTTGCACATTTTACTCTTTTTAAACTTGAATCATCAAGTCATTTGTATTGAGCTTGAAATGAAACGAACGCAAACTGGAAAAACGCATTTTAAAAAGAACGAATTCATAAAACTGAATCTAAAAAATGGAGATCTACACCTACTCTGTTTTAGGCTCCGCCCCTAAGACTGGATGCTGCTTCCTGAGTCTCGGCCCAATCAGTGATCACCTGCACGCTATTTAAGCCCTGTGAAGCTGTACTTCGAGGTCTCTGGGCCATTTGTCTGCCATGCACACTGCGAAAAAATAAAATCTAAATAAGTCATTTTTTGCCAATGGAACAAGACAATTTACACTTTAAACAAGAAAAAAACATTTGCATTGTCTTATTTTAAGTGCATAATAACTAAATAGCTTATTTTAAGAGTAAAAATACTAATTCCATTGGCAAATCATCTTATTTACCTGCTCAAATTAAGGGTAAATACACTAAATTTAAGACATTTTTACTCATTTTGAGATCATTTTTGGAGTGCACCTCTGTGGTGATTAAAGGTCTGTCCACTCTCTGCCGTCTTAATCTGCTCAGATGTTTTTTGTAAGGATGAGCTGCCTTTAGTTTAACCCCAGTTTTCTCCTGTTTATGTGCTTGTTAGGTAGATTATTTTGTAGGCCAGTTTTTTTTTGGTTTTGGTTTAAGTCCACTTTTATTCTAGGGTTGTTGCGGCCCCGTCGTCCAATCAGCGATGTCTCATGTTTCCCACTGGTTCCTACCTTTTCCGGTAGGTTAATGTAATTGTGTTTTTTCTTAATGTAGTTGCGCTTTGCTTTATGTAGTTGCAGTTTGTACTTCAGGGCCACCGTAGTTCGTTGCTGATGCCTCTCTGTATCGGTATTATGAAATAACATCAACATGCCCTGCAGCAACAAACCCCGGAGCATGTTGAGATGCTGAGTGGGGTGAAAATCAGTTCATTGCTGACTGCTAAATTCCCTCGTTAACAACCAGGACACACATCTAAAACTAAAGATGTTTAAATTCTGATCAATTTATCATTTTAATATGTAAAACTACAAAAAAAAATGAAAACTTCTACAAGCAATTTCTATAACTTTAACTTGACTTTACAGTAAAACTTGACTCTGACGCCATGTTTTCTCATTCCTCTCTCCTGTTGCTTTCAGTGGAAATGTTCACTTGTAGGCGTGGCCTATTTTGGTTTAATCAAAGCTAGAGAGGTTCTGTCTGAAAGAGCGGGGGAAGTTTGATCGTATCTCAGGGGCCGTCCTGTTTGGAAACAGAAGTCATGCAGCTCTAAAATCCCCTCTGGAACCCGCCACTCGTCCACAGAAGACAATCTTTGAGGACACAGAAGTCATTATCAGTGAATTCAGAGAAAGCAGAGCAGCTCTGCTGGCAGCGGCGGCCGGTGTTTGCTAAGCTGTGATAGAACATGGTGGGCCGTGGCGCCTTGGGCTCCATGTCATTATCAAAGCTGACACAACGCCGCTGATGAGCTTCCGGTGTCTGAATGTGTCCA